TGGAGTTTCAGCTTCAGCATCGGTCCTTCCAGTGAATTTTCAGAACTGATATCCTTTAGGATGGACTGGTTGGATCTCCTTGCAGTTCAAGGGACTCTCAAGAGTCTTCTTCATCACCACAGTTCAAAAGCATCAATTCTTTGGTGCTCAGCTTTCTTTATAGTCCAACTCTTACATCCATACATGACTACTGGAAAAACCATAGCTTTGACTAGAGGGACCTTTGTTAGCAAAGTAATGTCTCTGCTTTTTAATATTCTGTCTAGGTTGGTTATAACTTTCCTTCCAAGGAGCAAGCGTCTTCTAATTTCATGGCTGCAATCACCACCTGAATTGATTTTGAAGCTCCCCAAAATACAGTCTCTCACTGTTTCCACTGTTTCCCCATCTATTTGCCATGAAGTGATGGGACCAGATGCCATGATTTTAGTTTTCTGAATGTTGAGCTTTAAGCCAACTTTTTCACTCTCCTCTTTCACTTTCATCAAGAGGCTCTTTAGTTCTTCTTCCTTTTCTGCCATAAGGGTGGTGTCATCTGCATATCTGAGGTTATTGATATTTCTCCAGGCAATCTTGATTCCAGCTTGTGCTTCATCCAGCTCAGCATTTCCATGATGTACTCTGCATATAAGTTAAACAAGCAGGGTGACAATATACAGCTTTGCCCTACTCCTTTCCCAATTTGGAACCAGTCTGTTGTACCATGTTCAGTTCTCACTGTTGCTTCTTGACCTGCATACAGATTTCTCAGGAGGCAGGTCAAGTGTTCTGGTATTCCCATCACTTGAAGAATTTTCCACAGTTTGTTGTGGAAAAAGCAGAAGTAGATGTTTTTCTGGAACTCTCTTGCTTTTTTGATGATCCCATGGATGTTGTCAATTTGACCTCTGGTTTCTCTGCCTTTTCTAAATCCAGCTTGAACATCTGGAAGTTCATGGTTCATATACTGTTGAAGCCTGGCTTGGAGAATTTTGAGCATTCCTTTGCTAGCGTGTGAGATGAGTGCAATTGTGCAGTAGTTTGAGCATATTTTGGTATTGCCTTTCTTTGGGATTGGAATGAAAACTGACTTTTTCCAGTCCTGTGGCCACTGCTGAGTTTTCCAAATTTGCTGGCATATTGAGTGCAGCACTGTCACAGCATCACCTTTTAGGATTTGAAATAGTTCAATTGGAATTCCATCACCTCCACTAGCTTTGTTCATAGTGATGCTTCCTAAGGCCCACTTGACTCCGCATTCCAGGATGTCTGGCTCTAGGTGAGTGATCACACCATTTGTGGTTTTCTGGGTCATGAAGATCCTTTTTGTATAGTTCTTCTGTGTATTCTTGCCACCTCTTAATATCTTCTGCTTCTGTTAGGTCCATATTATTGTGCCCATCTTTGCATCAAATATTCCCTTGGTATCTCTAATTTTCTTGATGAGATCTCTAGTCTTTCCCATTCTATTGTTTTCCTCTATTTCTTTGCACTGATGACTGAGGAAGGCTTTCTTATCTCTCCTTGCTATTCTTTGGAACTCTGCATTCAAATGGGTATATCTTTCCTTTTCTCCTTTGCCTTCAGCTTCTCTTCTTTTCTCAGCTATTTATAAGGCCTCCTCAGACAACCATTTTGTCTTTTCCATTTCTTTTTCTTGGGGATGGTCTTGATCACTGCTCCTGTACAATGTCATGAACTTCTGTCCATAGTTCTTCAGGCACTCTGTTTATCAGATCTAATCCCATGAATCTATTTCTCACTTCCACTATATAGTCATAAGGGATTTGATTTAGGTCATACCTGAATGGTCTGGTGGTTTCCCTACTTTCTTCAATTTAAGTCTGAATTTAGCAATAAGGAGTTCATGATCTTAGCCATAGTCAGCTCCCAGTCTTGCTTTTGCTGACTATATAGAGCTTCTCCATATTTGGCTGCAAAGAATATAATCAATCTGATGTTGGTATTGACCATCTGGTGATGTCCATGTGTAGAGTCTTCTCTTGTGTTGTTGGAAGAGGGTGTTTGCTGTGACCAGTGCATTCTCTTGACCTGCTTTGTTTTGTACTCCAAGGCCAAATTTGCCTGTTACTCCAGGTATCTCTTGACGTCCTAGTTTTGCATTCCAGTCCCCTATAATGAAAAGGACATCTTTTTTGTGTGTTACTTCTAGAAGGTCTTGTAGGTCTTCATAGAACTGTTCAACTTCAACTTCTTCAGCATTACTGGTTGGGGCATAAACTTGGATTACTGTGATACTGAATGGTTTGCCTGGGAAACGAACAGAGATCATTCTGTCGTTTTTGAGATTGCATCCAAGTACTGCATTTCGGACTCTTTTGTTGACTATGATGGCTACTCTGTTTCTTCTAAGGGATTCTTGCCTATAGTAGTAGAGTGGGTCTCCAAGATCTAATATTTCAGGGTCATCATTACCTTTACTTTTACTCTTTTTCCCTCAATTTGTCCTGGACATTTTTAAAATGAGGAAATGGATCATAAATACTAATAAAAAGAGTACACATAGGAGAGTTATTCATTGCTTCCTTTTGTTGCTGTTAATGAAATAAAGTTGGACAGCTATTGCAACAATCAGGGAAAATTACTCCCTAATGAAAAATACTTCATCTGGCTATCCATGGGAAATTATGAAATACGGAAACTACTATCAGTTAACCTCAGAGGATGAGTTTTTAAAAAAAAATACTGGAGCTGACAGAAACTTCATCTTCATTCTCTAGATAAATGATGAAGGTTAGTGAATGGTTTCTTAGAAATGACTTATCTTTTCAAATCTGTGAGTTTTCATTCATATTTAAGAGAGATTTGGAAAAAGAAGAACTCTGAGGGGTAGAAACACTACTATTTTCCTCCCAGGCATGATCTCATTCTTAACTTTGTCGATAGATCCCAGATATGCAGTTTGCCATTATAAAGGACCTTTTTACAATGGACAGGGATTTAAAAAAATCATCAGTCAGGGTGCTCCAGTTAACTTGACTCAGCAGAGTTCAAAACTCAGCCAGTTTCTGCCCAGACGGACGGCCCAGGAGACTGAACGCCATCGCATACTAAACACAACATCCAGATAGGCCATCCACCAGGAATTACTTGTGGAATGCATAATTCTTTGTTTTCCAATGTTTGCAGATCATCGATCAAAAATCTATGAATGACAAGACTCAACTTCAGAGAACAGTAGACTGTAGGGGAAAGGACTTCTCTTTGAAAAGTCACTTAAACAGACATTTTTTGTTCTTTTCTAACAGGAAGGTCTTGGTGCATTATTTAGAACAAAACGATACATCAATTGTGCCCAACTGCTAACATCTTTGAAAGGTCAGTCAATAAAGCAAATGGGTGTGCAGCTTCCAAGGTTCTCAGGACAGAGAAGGGCCCCAGAACACCCAAGATGCTGCGTCCACCCCCTTAGAACACGGCTGCCTCACAAGCAGTCCTGAAGATGAGTCTATTTAAGATGTTCCTGAAAGGAGCTTATACTCAGCATGCTGCTGCTGCTAAGTCTCTTCAGTCATGTCCGACTCTGTGTGACCCCCTGGACTGTAGCACACCAGGCTCCTCTGTCCCCAGGATTCTCCAGGCCCGAACACTGGAATGGGTTGCCATGCCCTCCTCCAGGAGATCTTCCCGACCCAGGGATCGAACCTGCATCTCTTAGGTCTTTAGCATTGACAGGTGGGTTCTTTACCACTAGCACCACCTGGGAAGTCCATACTCAGCATCGGAAAAATAATAATCACACTGACATTGTCGAAAGAATGTTCAAAATTCTGGCTTGGAAAACAACTGCTCCCTTGGAGCCTGGTTACTTAAGACACTGCTGTACTCTGTTTCTTGACTAGCAATGGTAACCTTCATCTTAAGAAAAAGAAGGCCCAGTAAATAGGAGCATTAACATATTCTACTATCAATGCTTTATTTTTAAATCATTAGTAGAATGTTGATTCTTTTTAGTTAAGGCAAATAAACCTTAATGATTCTTTTTTTTTTTTTTTTAAAGGAGATTGTTTCAGGGCTTCCCTGGTGGCTCAGTGGCAAGGAATTTGCCTGCCAATGCAGGAAGCAAGGATTCGATCCCTGATCCAGGAAGATCCAATGTGGTACAGAGCAACAAAGCCACAACTATTGAGCCCAAGTTCTAGAGCCCGGGAACCACAACTACTGAGCCCACGTGCCATGACTACTGAAGCCTGTATGCCTACAGTCCGTGCTCTACAACAAGAAAAGCCATCACAGTTGAAAGCCCACACTGTGACTAGAGAGCAGCCCCTGCTCTCCGCACCTAGAGAAAAGCCCATGCAGGAACAATCAGCACACACAAAATCAATAAATAAAATTATTGTGTGTTTTCAATTATTCTATTGAAGTATAGTTGATTTACAAGGTTATGTTAATTTCTGCTGTGCCACAGACTGATTCAGTTATACATATGTATACATTCTCTTTCATGTTCCCTTTCATTATGGTTTATCACAGGATATTGAATATAGTTCCCTGTGCTACACAGTGAGACCTTATTGTTTAATGATTCTATTCCTTTAGTAAAATATGGTGAACATTTAAGTATACAGAACTATGACATTTATTGAGTTACAGTTACCAGAATCGACTTCTTCTGTTTCAGTGAGACACAAGAATCGAATGTATTGAGGAGGGAATTGTGCAACACTTGGCTAAAGGAGGAAATCATCACCAGTCATCAACTGAAAGAATTCAGCTGATAAGAATGCATTTAAAAAAACACAGACGTGGGACTTCCCTGGTGATCCAGTGGTTGAGAATCCATCTTGCAATTCAGGGGACCCATGTTTGATCCCTGGTCAGGAAACTAAGATCCCACATGCTGCAAAGCAACTAAACCTGTGTGCCACAACTAGTTTTCACACTGCCACAAGAGATCCCACGTGCCACAACCAAGACCTGAGGCAGCCAAGCAAATAAGCAAATAAATGTAAATAGAAAACACAGGCGTATAACCGTCCCACGCACCCCACAGTTACCTTGGACAACTCCATGCCTGGCCCACACTGCTTGCACAGAACACAGCTTCCTGACTGGTGCCTGAATTCCTGCTGTCCACAGTCTCCTGTCTCACAAATGACTCCACATGCCTGAAAAAAAAAACACATTTCACAAAACGTTATCTTAAGGTGAGGTAATTCTGTTTTTCACAAGAAGGGAACAGTATCTTCAGTATTATTGACATAACCACTGAAGGTAAACATTAATTCAGAGTGAGGCCAATTCAGTTTCCACTTTAGGAAGGAAAACCACTTTCTGGAAAAGTCAGAGAAACAATTCAAGCCCGAATCCTTTCTCTGCTTCTGAACGAGAACTCCCCTTTTCTGGAATCAATCGCCATCTTCTTCCTACACATTTGTGAACCCAAGGTAAAAACTGCTAGAAGCTGTTCTCTTTTCTAAGTGAGAAGATGACTTAAAGAGCAGTTATGCAGAGACCCAGGGTACTTCTTCAACTGGAAAAATTCTGATTTTAAAAATTGTTATTTTTAAATTTTTAATATAAACATATTCAGCTATAATGAATTGAATAATAAATAAATAAATGGAATATGTAGACTGGACTCAAGAACTCTGCCATTATATTTTAGACATATCCAAAATCCAACTTTGATGCAGAAGTTTCCACCTTTCAGTTGAATTACATTTACTTAGAGTCCATCATTCAAAAAATTCTGACAATATTAAGGTCAGTAAAATTCCTGATAATTATGATGATGACAAAAATGGCCAAATCCTCTGCTCTTCAAAGTAAAAGTGTTACTTTCCTATTGATTGCCATTTTGCCACTTAAATGGAACCTAACAATATCCTTTTTCTAAAAATTGAAGTATTGTTGATTTTCAATGTTGTGCTAATTTCCGCTGTATAGCAAAGTGACTCAATCATATATACATAATTACACATATATATGTATGCATAAATGTTAAAGTCATTTCAGGTGTGTCTGACTCTTTGCAACCCCATTAACTGTTAGCCCGCCAAGCTCCTCTGTTCATGGGATTCTCCAGGCAAGAATACTGACGTGGGTTGCCATGCCCTCCTCCAGAGGATCTTCCCAACCTAGGGGATCGAACTCATATCTCTTACATCACTATATATGTATATACTTTATTTTTTAATATTCTTTTCCTTTACTGTATATCATAGGATATGAACATAGTTCTCTGTGCTATACAGTAGGACTTTTTGTTTATCCATCCTATATGTAACAGTTTGCATCTGCTAACCCTAACCTCCCATTCCATCCCTCCCCCTTGTCATCCACAAGTCTGTTTTCTATGTCCTTACAATATACTTTGGTTCACATGATAGGTCTTAAATGGAAGGACTATCTACTTTGCAAAAACAAAGGTTGTAAGTTATTTTCAAGATACAGACTTTATTTCTTCTTTTACCTAAAAACAGTTAAGTTTATATGCACTCATCTTACAAAAGTACGTATATCTGCTTCTTAATAGTCAGTGTTTCATTAAAAAATGTTGGAATTAATAGAATCTCAGACTGGTGACAACATTCAGTTCAAACTCTCATGCCAAGCAAAGGCCCCCTCCGTAATATTCCTGATGTTAATTCTGTTGCCCTAAATGAAAACTAAGAGCGTCAGGAGGCACGGGTGGAATAGAGACTGGAGTGAGTGTGTAATGCTCTTTACATGGAGGTGCATAGAATGGGCTTTAGTGATGACAGCATGGGCAGTTATTCATTACAAACTGCCTCCACTCGAAGCAAACATCTACAGTGATGTCATCCAACCTCCTTAAATAAAATCCCAGCCTTATCCTCTAGAGAATTCAAGGTGGGGTTCAAGATCCTAATGGGGGGCTAAAGGTCTAGTAATCACCTCCAGCCTCTCTTAACCACACTTGACAACCAATCTTAGAGGAAAGTGTTAGTCGCTCAGTTGTGTCCTAATCTTTGTGACTCCATGGGCAGCCCACCAGGCTCCTCTGTCCATGGGATTCTCCAGGCAAGAATACGGGAGTGGGTTGTCATTCCCTCTTCCAGGGAAATCTTCCTGACACAGGGATTGAACCTGGGTCTCCCACAATACAGGATGATTCTTAACCTTCTGAGCCACCAGGGATTGGTTTCATTTGAGGGAGAGAGAATATTCCTTCCACCACAAAGACACTGCATTTGCTTTGAGAAAGAAATGCCACAGCCTCTCTCGTGGACCATTTCTTCCAACATTTAACAACCTCAACTTAAGGAAGGGTTGTTTTCCTCACATCTACCTGCATCCCAGACTCCAATCTGACCCCACTTCCCCTCACTCTGTCTTCCAAGAAGACCTCAGGAACTGTCTTTGGTGTCATTAATCCTTTTTATATTTGTAGATCATGACTGCATCTCCAGAACGAATGCTTCAGTAATTCTTTTGAACACATTCAAAGATCTTTTGTGTGAAAGCTTTCAAAGGTTACAATTCTCTATCTGTCTTTGATGCTTTTTGGAGTCAAAATGGATATAAATAATCATATAAAACAATAGCATTTAAGAATCAACTCCAAATTCTACATGGACTGTGAAGTCATGGGCTCCAAGCTAGAATCTAAACCTTGTTAGTGTCTAGGCTGTGCTGTGAGAGGCACCTGCCTGTAAGCCCATGAAGCATCATTATCTTGGGGCTACAAGTAATGCCATGACTTGATGATCTCATCAAGATTGAAATAAATAAGTGCAATTATTGCCACAAAAGTCAAGACCCAACAATAGCCTCTGACTTATTAATTAAATGCAACAATGATAAAAGGAATTTGAAAGAAAATTTTGAAGATATGGTGTTAAAAATGGGAATTAGATTGGGTCCTAGTTCTATGAATTTTTCCCCTACATTCTTATGAAAGTAAAGAGTTGACTTACCAAACAGGCTAGTAAAACTACAACTGTGAAAGATTTCTGTTGCCTGAGTAGCACCTTTGAAGCCATTGCTCTTAGTAAATGTATTTCTGGTTGAAGCGCTCTAAAAGGGAAGAAGATACAGTTAAAGTTAATATCAGTAGTGACTGATATTACTACACAGTGCTACCATTTACTACATACACTAGTAAAACAATGCTATTTAGTATGTTAGTAAAACAAAATATCATTTATGTTTTAAAAAGGACTTATCTTTTTCAAAGATACCAGAGATAAATATTAAACAATTCTTTAATAATTTAGGTTATGAGAACTGAAGCTTTGTCAATCCACACAGTACACAGAAAATACCTACTGGCTCTGAATTCCTAGGCTACACATGCCTTTATTTCCTTTCTGTCCAAATCTCTACAGTGTCAACTTCACCCAGCAGAAAATTACATTCAAACTCACAGAAACTTCCCATTTATATGGGTTTAGTCATATAGGATGATACCAATGATAAAATAACAACACATGCTAAGCACACAATGCCAGGTACTATTCTTGGCAGAACTCATTTCATTTTCACAACTGCCCCAGAAGGTAGATGCGGTCATTATCTCCATTTTAGAGATGGGGGAACAGAGGCTCATTAAGGGCTGAGTCACTTGCCTTGGGTCACACTGGTGGTAAGAGGCAGAGCTGGATGCCAACCCCGGTGGCTGGCTCCAATGTCCCCATGACAGACACCGTGAAATCAACCTGTTCCATTTAATAAAAACTGCATATATGTACCATAGCTTTCTTATCCATTTGTCTGCTGATGGGCATCTAGGTTGCTTCCATGTCCTGGCTATTATAAACAGTGCTGCGATGAACATTGGGGTGCACGTGTCTCTTTCAGATCTGGTTTCCTCGGTGTGTATGCCCAGGAGTGGGATTGCTGGGTCATATGGCAGTTCTACTTCCAGTTTTTTAAGTAATCTCCACACTGTTCTCCATAGTGGCTGTACTAGTTTGCATTCCCACCAACAGTGTAAGAGGGTTCCCTTTTGTCCACACCCTCTCCAGCACTTATTGCTTTGTAGACTTTTGGATAGCAGCCATTCTGACTGGCGTGTAGTGGTATCTCACTGTGGTTTTGATTTGCATTTCTCTGATAATGAGTGATGTTGAGCATCTTTTCATGTGTTTGTTAGCCATCTGTATTTCTTCTTTGGAGAAATGTCTGTTTAGTTCTTTGGCCCATTTTTTTATTGGGTCATTTATTTTTCTGGAATTGAGCTGCAGGAGTTGCTTGTATATTTTTGAGATTAATCCTTTGTCTGTTTCTTCCTTTGCTATCATTTTCTCCCATTCTGAAGGCTGAAAGCTATGGTACATATACACAATGGAATATTACTCAGCCATTAAGAAGAATACATTTGAATCAGTTCTAATGAGATGGATGAAACTGGAGTCCATTATACAGAGTGAAGTAAGCCAGAAAGATAAACACCAACAGTATACTAATGCCTATATATGGAATTTTAAAAGATAGTAACGATAACCCCATATGCAGGACAGAAAAAGAGACACAGATGTATAGAACAGACTTTTGGACTCTGGGAGAAGGCGAGGGTGGGATGATCTGAGAGAATAGCATTGAAACATGTATATTATCAATTGTGAAACAGATTGCCAGCCCAGGCTGGATGCATGAGACAAGTGCTCAGGACTGGTGCACTGGGAAGACCCAGAGGGATGGGATGGGGAGGGAGGTGGGAGGGGGGATCGGGATGGGGAATACATGTAAATCCATGGCTGATTCATGTCAATGTATGGCAAAAACCACTACAATACTGTAAAGTAATTAGCCTCCAACTAATAAAAATAAATGAAAAAAACAAAAACAAAAACTGCGTGCTTGTGTCTCAGGTCTTGAGCTTCACTAAGAAGCAGGAACAACTAACATCTGGCATTTGTGAACTCTTCCCCAAACCAGTACAGTGCAAATTATCTACTAGCAGAAAAATGAGCACTTATTAAAAAAAAAAAAACAACACCTAAAAATCATTTACAAGTGATGAATTGGAGGTACTACCCTGACACTTCAAGAAGAACAAACAAACTAAGCCTCTTTCTCTTTCCTAGGAATGATGTAAAATGTAGAGACAAGTGTGTTTTGTTTTGTTTTTACAGACTCATGCAATGTCAAGAGAAGAGATTTATTTGAACATTTTTAAAAAGTAAAGACTCATCTGTTCACTCCACCAATCAGGCAGAGGAACACTGGTTCAGTTTCTAGCAAGACCTCAGAGCAGATAGCCTAACTACCTGGAAAGAAACCAGAGCAAAAATCAAACAGCTCAAGAAAAACAGCAACAGTAACAACAAAGGAAGCAGGCTGAGCTGAGCAGGCTGCTGTCCCAACTGTGGACCAAACAGCCAGCAGGGGGGCACCCCACCCCCACCAGGAGACTGTCCAGGTGGTCATCCCAGCTGCCAGGGCAGGTCCAAACTTCAGGGCAACAAAAAGTCATTTTTAAACTTGGTTGAGTGAATAACCCATTTTGAGTGAATTCAAACAGCTCTTTTTTTTTTTCTTTTCCAGCTTCTTGATCATAGCTTTCCCCCGCCCCCCTTGCATATCTCAAAATCATCCAGCAATTACCCAACCATGCAACCTGCTGCTGTGTAGACACAGGATAGGGGTCAGAAGATAACATCACATTCCCTGAATGATATGCTTCAGGCTGTCTCTTTCCCAGCAGGGCCCTAAATTTTTTTTAAGGTAAAAAGCACAAAACCTATGTGGAATTGAACTAACACAGAAAAGAGGTTATAAACACCAAAGTATATACATAGAACATGAAGAATAAAGAAATTGCTAGAGTCTGTGCATCGTTGTTGTTATTGCTCAGTGGCCAAGTGGTGTCTGGCTCTTTGCAACCCCATGGACGGAAGCACACCAGGCTTCCCTGTCCTTGACTATCTCCCGGAGTTTGCTCAAACTCATGTCCATTGAGTCAGTGATGCCATCCAACCATCTCATCCTCTGTCATCCCCTTCTTCTAGAGTCTGTGAATAATCAGTCTATAGTTGAGCATCTAGTTAGGGCAGGTAACTTTACTGGGACATGGTGCTAACTACTGTGGAAGGCAGACAAAACATGCAGCATCTTCTTGAAAAGATGACTGATGACACACACCTCAAGCCAGAAGTCAAGGCAATACGATTCTGACTTCACAAGACACATCCATGTCATGTATGAAAATAAATATGCCAAAATAATATCAATGGTTTAGGTTTATACTGTGGCAATCTGGGGGGATTATTTACCCTCTTTATCTTGAACATTCTTTGTAGTATAAATATTTCATTAATAATGAAACAAATATATGTATTGTGCTTTGGGGGATAAAAATGTAAGTAACATGGTCCTTCTTAAAAGTTTATAAATTAAAAAAGGTGATGAGATAAAAACCATACATACACTACCCAAAAAGGAGAACACTGAACGAAGTACTATGATTTTTGCATCACAAAAATTTTTTACATGATAGGGTGGACAAAAATTAATGAAACTAGACTCAATGTGCTGATTTGTATTGGGTTAGCCAAAAAGTTCAGGCTTCCCGTGTGACTCAGCGGGTTAAGAATTTGCTTGCAATGTGGGAGACCTGGGTTCAATCTCTGGATTGGAAAGATCCCCTGGTGAAGGGAAAGGCTACCCACTCCAGTATTCTGGCCTGGAGAATTCCATGGCCTATACAGTCCATGGGGTCACATAGAGTCGGACATGACTGAGCAACTTTCACTTTCACTTTATTCTTTCGGCCAAAGAGTTCATTTAGGTTTTCCTGTAAGGTGTTATGGGAACTTTCTGGCCAGCCCAGAAAGTTATTATATTATATTATATTATATTATATTATCTTCCCAACATACATGCTAAACTGAGTAGTTTAAATGGGAAATACAAAAGGAGCACTGCTACACCTACACTTCCAGGGGCACAGTGGGTTGAAGCCTGCAAATTATCTTCTAAACTCCTCGGCCAGACACCTATGCCCTTTTCATCTGCCCTCTGGCCTAGAGGTCTCATCACTGGTCCCTGCCCTCACTGCCGGCCCAGCTTAGCCACACCCTGACACCTGCTCTTCTGCTGGACGCCCGTGATCTTGCTCCTCTGGGTCTGGAGAGCCTTTCTCCTTCTGAGTCCCTCCAAGAGCCAGCTCAGCGACCACTCTGCTGAATGCTGTCCACAGCGGCTCCCGGTGGCCCCACAGCCCTTTCCACGCTCACGGACACGGTCCCTTACAGCAGGGGCCACACCTGGGACTTCGTTCCTAGCATCAGGCACACCAAGGTGCTCCGCGAACGTGTGCGGAATTAAATGGATGAAGCAGCACAAAACAATGAAAAACACTTCCTGGAAAACACCTGAGATTTGGTTGCGGATAACAGATCTAATTCTTCTGTGGAATTCTAATTCTAATTCTAATTAGAAGAATTCTAATTCTTCTAATTCTTCATTTTCTGTTTCAGACAAATATACGTATATGAAATCTTACTACCTCCTCAAGGCATTCAGTACATTAGATTGCACGCTCAGTCACTTCATATGTGTCTGACTCTTTGAGACACCATGGACTGTGGCCCACCAGGCTCCTCTGTCCATGGGATTCTCCTGGCAAGAATACTGGAGCGGGTTGCCATGTCTTCCTCCAGGGGATCTTCCTGACCCCGGGACTGAACCCGAGTCCCCTGCGTCTCCTGCACTGAACGCAGATTCTTTACCCGCTGAGCCATCAGAGAAGCCCACATTAGATCAGGAGACAGGATTAAATGACATAGTGACATTTTTAAATATCTTAATTCACTTAAAAAATGCAAGCGGTCATTCACAGATTTCTTAAACTGGGAACTGGGGGCTGAAATGTGCCAGTGAACTATGTCACTTCTCTTTTCTGTGGCTTCTCTTTTAACCTGGCTTTTTACACCAAGAGGCTGAGAAGTAGTTTAGGCTTGGGCGGACTATCTAGGGAGTGGCTATGGTGATATAAAGGCCAAGTTCAAACAGTCTTCAGGTAAACCAAGATATACCCATTTGAATGCAGAGTTCCAAAGAATAGCAAGGAG